AAAAAAAAAAAAAAAAAAAAAAAAAAAAAAAAAAATCCCTAAGGAACAGACGATAATTGATTGTACGCTTTTCTCCCCTACTCACTTCTCAACCTATCATTATGTCTATGCATTTTAGCTCCTCTATTTCTGGACCTTGTGATTTTATTTCCAGACTTCCCAAATAGTTTTCCTTTCTGCTCCTCCTTTTAATTTTAGACTCTTCTGAAAGCAGGAAGATGATCATGCCATTCCCTGGTTCAAAGATCTTAATGGCTTCCCATTACCTTGAGAATAAAATGCAGAAATATGAAATCTATTCCAACCATACCTAGTACTTTTCTGTTTTACACATGACACTAAACCCCAGAAAGTTGAAGTGTCTGCTTGTTTAGCATCACATTTCTTTTTTTTTTAATTTAAAAAAAAATTTATTTATTTTTATTTTTGTCTGCGTTGGGTCCTCGTTACCGTGTGTGGACTTTCTCTAGCTGTGGCAAGCGGGGGCTACTCTTCGCTGTGATGTATGGGCTTCTCATTGCAGTGGCTTCTCGTTGTGGAGCACAGGCTCTAGGTGCACGGGCTCTAGGCGCACGGGCTTCAGTAGTTGTGGCTTGAGGGCTCTAGAGTGCAGGCTCAGTAGCTGTGGCACATGGGCTTAGTTGCTTCCCAGCATGTGGGATCTTCCCGGACCAGGGCTCAAACCCATGTCCCTTGCATTGGCAGGCGGATTCTTAACCACTGAGTCACCAGGGAAGCCCTAGCATCACATTTCTTAACTGTCTTTTCTCCTTCATTTTAATTTCCACTTTATTCTTACTCTTTTAAGTACATGCTTCAGTCATTATCTTCCTAAACACTTAAGCATGAGGGTAGGAATCATTTTTTTTTCAGCAGCACTCAGTACAGTGCCTGACACTGAATATTTACTGAATTAATGACTAAGCACCATACTCTACATCACTTCTTATATTTTCTTGCTTCTGTGCCTTTGTTGATTATTCCCTCTCTGCCTTTATGCCTCTACTCCCATCCTTCAAAACTCAAATCTCAGGAGCTCCACAAAGCTTTTCCTTTTCTTTCCAATCAGAATTGAACCCTACCTCCTGTGAGCTCTTATAAGCATCTTGCCTAACTTTATGATTATATTGAGCCATATATTTTCTGTATACATCAGCCTTTATCAGTGTACAATGCATGCTTTTTGGAGACAGTATATTCTTTGTGTATACTACAAAACCTAAAAAAATGCCTTGCACATAATAATTTAACAATGTATGTTAAATTAAAATATTAATTGGATAATTATGGGGGATAGTCAAAGTAAATGACAGTAGCAGGATTTTAACAAATGGTTAATACCACAAAGACAATTTTTCTTATTTTTAAAAACTATTTCTGTTTTTCAGTTGAAAACATTGTGTACACATGGCATATTATCAATATATATATGTCAGAAATCAACAAACAAAACAAAGTTTGATGAATGTTGCCATTAAAAAAAGATCAATAGGTCTTTTTATTTTTAGACAGAATATGCAATATCAATTAGTCATGTTGGTGTTACTTTAGCTAACATTTTTGTTCAATCTATAGATGACAGACAGGATAAACATAGTAGTAGAGAAATAGTCACACTTTAACATATGGAATTATTTTTTTAAAAATTGTGAAACATATTTAGAAACTGTAATTAAATGGTAGTGTTGAAGAAGTAATTTCAAACCACTAAAGTTTATGGATGGGCTACATTATTAAGAGAAAATAAATTCATGTTTGCTGTGAACACCACAGGAACTTGAAAACTCATGCTCACTAGGAAGACCAAAACTTGGCCACCCCCACACAAAAAAAGTATATTTCAGAAAATGGGGCACTAGAGTTATGCAGTTAATAAGTTTAATACCAGAATAGCATAGCACGTTCACACAGAGGGAATTTAATAACTAATGTTTGCATAAGGTAGGATTCTCCAGCTGTCAGGAGATAAGTGGTATGCGAATTATCAGAGTGAATGCCAATTAAGATATGGGAAGGGTTTAAATTTTCTCTACATTCTCTAAAATAACTACTGTGATATGCAAGAGGTGATCTGGGCTCACTAAAGGTTTGAGATTATAACACTTAATACATTTCCTTCTGAGCTCTGATTGCACACAACACCACACTGGTTTTTACAATGTCTGATAAGGTTCTGCATTAATATGGTTAGACATTTCTTATAATGATAAAACTTTCCTCTTGTGCAGTGTTTGAATAAAAGACTAGAGCTTTTCTTACATTACAGCAGATAGAAATTTTTTCCATTGTTTCTGACATTCAGTAAGAATTTTTTCACATTGAAGGTTTTCTAACAACTCACAGGATTCCTCCTCAGAATTTTTCTTTAGTAATGTCTGAGCTCTGAGTTAAACTTTCATTATAAAAATTGAATTAATATGTTTTCTCTCTAGTGTGTGTCGTCTTTTTTAGTGTAGCACAAGAGTTGAGCATTGATTAAAACCTTTTTCATAATCATCCATAGCATTCATAAGATTTTTTTCTGGCAGAGTGTCTCTGGTACTGAATAAAGTTGGTGTATACACTAAAGGTTTTCCCATATTCATCACATTTAGAGTGTCTTCCCCAGAATGGACTTTCTCATGATTAATGAGATCAGAGAGTTGGCTAAAATTTCTGCTGCACTGAACACACCTGTGGGGTTTCTCTCCAATGTGGATTCCCTGGTATTCAGTAAGATCAGTGCATGCGCTAAAGGCTTTCCCAGACACATCACATTTATATGGATTTTCATTAGTGTGGATTCTTTGATGGTTAATAAGATCAGAGCGCCGACTAAAGCTTTTGCCACATTGATCACATGGATATGGTTTCTCCCCAGTGTGGATCCTCTGATGTAGGACAAGAGCTGAGCACTGACTGAAAGCCTTCCCACATTCATTACATTTATATGGTTTTTCCCCAGTGTGGATCCTCTGGTGCTTGATAAGGTCGGAGTTCTGACTGAAACTTTTGCTGCACTGTGTGCATGGATATGGTTTTTCTCCAGTGTGAATTCTCTGATGAAGAATAAGGTCAGAACTCTGACTGAAGGCTTTCTCACAACAATCACAATGATAGGGTTTTTCCCCAGAGTGTACTCTCTGATGTTTAGTGAGGTCTGAGCTTTGACTAAAACTTTTATTGCACTGATTACATGCATACGGTTTCTCTCCAGTGTGTATTCTCTGATGTTTCACAAGGTCTGAACGACGACTAAAACTTTTAGTACAATCGCCACATGGATAGGGTTTCTCTCCAGTGTGGATTCTCTGATGCAGAATAAGGTTTGAGCTTTGACTAAAGGTTTTCCCACACTCATCACATTCATAGGGTTTCTCACCTGTATGAATTCTATGATGTTTAATAAGGTCGGATCTTCGACTAAACATTTTATTGCACTGGTTACATGGGTAAGGCTTCTCTCCAGTGTGAATTCGTTGATGATTAACAAGATCTGAAAGTCTACTGAAGGTTTTGCTACACTGGTTACATGGATAGGGTTTCTCTCCAGTGTGAATTCTCTGATGCAGAATAAGGACTGAGCTCTGATTAAAAGCTTTCCCACATTCATTACATTTATAGGGTTTCTCTCCAGTGTGGATCCTTCGATGTTTAATAAGGTCTGAGTTCTGACTGAAACTTTTGCTACACTGATTACATGGATATGGTTTCTCTCCAGTGTGAATTCTCTGATGTAGAATAAGATCTGAGCTCTGACTGAAGGCTTTTCCACACACATCACATTTATATGGTTTCTCACCAGTATGGATTCTTTGATGTTTTATAACATCAGAACTCTGACTAAAATGTTTGTTACACTGGTTACATGTATAAGGCTTCTCTCCAGTATGTATTCTTTGATGTTTAACCAGGTCTGAGCGCTGGCTAAAACTTTTACTACAATGACTGCACTGATAGGGTTTTTCTCCTGTATGTATTCTCTGATGTATAATAAGATCAGAGCTCTGACTGAAGGCTTTCCCACATTCATCACATTTGTAAGGTTTTTCACCAGTGTGGACTCTTTGATGTTTAATAAGGTCTGAGCTCCGACGGAAACTTTTAATACACCAATTACAAGGATAGGGTTTCTCCCCAGTATGAATTCTCTGATGCAGAACCAGGGCTGAGCTCACATTAAAGGTCTTTCCACACTTATCACATTCATAGGGTTTCTCCCAATGGGTTCTTCGATGCCTAATAAGGCCTGTACTACAAGCAAAGTTTTGCCCACACTCATCACAGTTATGTTGTCTTCTTTTGAAGAGGTTCTGATCCTTTTCATTGAATTTATCCCCAAATCCACAGAATTCCCTGCATTCAGAATCCTGGAGAACATCATCTCTGGGGTTACCAGACTCTTCAGTCAATGGTTCAATTTTTGCTGTAATTTCCTCCTTGGAAGCCAGCTCTCCAACCTTGGCCTTAGTCTCACCATCTAGAACAATAAAATATAAATGGAATATGTTCTCCATACTGCAAGAAAGTTTCAGGTGAAATATATTAGTATTTTCCTATGAAAATACTGAAAATTATCTTCTGAGAGGGAAACTAAGAAGAATCAACAAGTAATGGATAATCGTTTATTGAAGTGGCTTATGTCTGTCACAGGAGATCTGGGAATCCTGAAACCTAATTACAGTGATTAGGAAAGTTTGACTATATTAGAGCTAATACATAAACAACGTTCTGACATATATAAAGTAGGCAGTATGAATGAATACTTGGGTGAAGGAGTGGGGGAGGAGGTGAAAGGGAGGGAGAGGAGGAGGAGGCAGTGGCAGCCAGGCTGTCACTGTGAGTGTATACCAACCAGGCTGGTCACATGTTGTCATTAGTGGAAAGAAAGAAGCATCAAGCTCAGGAATGGTTAGAAAAGAAGCCTAAATTTTCAAAAAGAGGTCTACATAGTCCTCCACCTCTTTTGCCCTGATTATTAGAAGGAAGTGGCCTAGAAAACATGATCCTTTTGGGAACAGCCATATTCAGTGACCAAACTTCCTTACTAAGGTATGTGGACCAGAAAAAGGTTAGGGAGGTAGGATCAGAAATCTCTTTTGAGTTGATTTTTGAGGAGATTATTCCTCTGCTCAACAATACCAGAGGCCTGTAATGGTAGAGAACATGGGAGCTCCATTGAAATTCTTGAGACTATCAGTCCATTATTAAGTGGTGTTTACTATAAAAGGCACACCATTCTCAGACTGCAAATGGTCTAGAAAGCTGAAAACATGACAAAGATTAATTTCAAGGGCTAAAGTCCAAAATCCCAAGCCTCCAAGTGGAGGCTTATTATCTTTGCCAAAGGCAAAGGGTACTGGAAAAAGTAAAGTATTACAGTAAATCTAAATGTGTATGTACTGAATGATATAAGCAATATGAATGTCTCATGGATTTTACAATATATATGTAGAGTTAAAATATATGGCAAAAATAGCACAAGAGGAGGGAGGTAAATAGAACTAAAATATTACAAGGTCTTTGGGTTAGCCTAGAAATATAAATTAAGATAAACTGTAATAAATCAAATGTGTATGTTGTAACTTCTAAGGCAGCCTTTTTCAACTAGGGTTCCACAAGAAAATAAAAAGAAAATAATTTGCCTGACTATTTTCTTAATTCTCCCAAAGATGGTAGATAGCAAGTAAATCAATAGATGTACAGGAGAAACATTAATATGTAACTTACAGTGGATGCCTCAGAGCATTTTGGCTTAATTCTCTCACAGAATCACATTTGAGAAAGGCTGCTATTAGGTGACAATTAAAGAATAATAAAAGGATGTATAAACAATAAGCTAATAGAGAAAAAAACAGAAAAACAAAAAACTTGATAACATAATTAAATTAGGCACAGAAGAAGAAAAAAGAAAAACAAAAAAGAAACAAAATATAGGAAAATAACAAAAAATAAGATGGTACATTTAAATCCAAACATCAACTATGTTACATGTAAATTAACTACTTCAATAAAAAGCAAAGAAAGACCAACAGCTAACATCATACTTAATGGTTAACCATTAAATGCTTTTCTCCTAGGAACAAGGGAGGAAAACAAGGATGCCCTCTCTTAACTACTTTTATTCAATATTGTACAACTTTTATTCAATATTCATAGTAAATGCAACATGACATGAAAAATAAATGAGCCATACAAGAAGTCAAACTGTCTTATAGACTATGCAGTCACGTATACAGAAAATCCTAAAGTGTCTTTAAAAAGTTATTAGAACTTGTAAATGGTTTTATTAGTGCAATACACAAAACCTGATTGTATTTCTGTATACTAGCAATGAACAATTAGAACCTAAAATTACAATTTTTTTCAATTGCACCAAAAAATGAAATACTTAGAAACAAATTCAATGAAATATGTGCAGTATCTGCATAATGAAAACTACAAAATGTTGCTGAGAGAAATTAAAGATCTAATAAATAGAAATATATGCCATCATTTACATATAGGAAGATTTAATATTGTTAAAGTGATGAAATTCTCCCCAAATTGATCTATGGATTCAATGCAACCCCAATCAAAATCTCAGCAGGCCTTTTCATAGAAACTGACAAACCGATTCTAAACTTTGTGTAGAAAGGCAGAGAAGGGTCTAAACAATTTTGAAAAAGAAGAACAAAATTAGAGAGCTTATACTCCCTGATTTCAAGCTTTACTACAAAGCTACAGTAATCAAGGCAGCGAGGTACTGGCATAGGATAGACATATCCATTAATGGAATAGAACAGAGTCTATAAATAGATCCAAACATGTATGTACAACTGACCTTCAACAAAGTTGCCCATATAATTCAAGGGTGAAAGGGTAGTCTCTTTTCAAAAAAAGTGTTACAACTGGATATCATAATAACAAAAATTAACTCTGACTCTTTCCGTATGCTATACACAAAAATTAACTAGAAATGTAATATAAACCTAAATATAAAAGTTAAAACTATAATACTTCTAGAAGAAAGCAAATCATAGATGACTAAAATTAATGCACAGAACTGAGAAAATAAATTTGTGTTGTTTAGGCCACCTAGTCTGCGGTTTTGTTATAGCCCTAGCAGGCAAATACAGCATGTTTTTGAACTTTATACATTTATGGAATCATACCACACGTATTCTGTGACTTGTTTTTTTACTCAACATTATGTTTGGGAGATTCATCCACAGTCATGTGTGTAGCTGTAGTCCATTCATGTTCACTATTATAGTGTGACATATACCACAAGTGATTTATCCATTCTTCTTCAATGGATAAGAACATTTTGCTATTTCAAACAATGCTGATATGAATATGCTGGTACGTCTATCTTGATACACATATCCAAATGTTTCTCTAGGTTATATAAATTTAGGATCAGAACTGTTAGGTCTTCAACTAGACTTTTCCAAAGTGGTTAAGCCAATTCACACTTCCATCAGGTGTATATAGTTCACATTGCTCTATATTCTAACCAACATCAAGTCTATTCTCTTTTTAACCCAATGCAATCAGGCTTTTATCTCTATAACTCCATCAAAACTGCACTTATTAAAGTCCCTAATATGCTTTATCTTGACAAATCCAGTGGTCAATTTTCAATCTTATTCTTGATTTGTTTGACATAGTTAACAACTCTCTTAAATTATTTGCTTTCTTCCTGCTAACTCACCTTTCTCCTGCTCTCCATACAACAGAGTGATCTTTATAATAAAAGGATGTATAAACAATAAGCTAATAGAGAAAAAAACAGAAAAACAAAAAACTTGATAACATAATTAAATTAGGCACAGAAGAAGAAAAAAGAAAAACAAAAAAGAAACAAAATATAGGAAAATAACAAAAAATAAGATGGTACATTTAAATCCAAACATCAACTATGTTACATGTAAATTAACTATTAATTAAATTAAATTAAATTAAATTAAATTAACTATGTTACATGTAAATTAATGTTATCCTGTGTAAAGAGTTCCAATGGTTTCCCATTTCACTGGGAATAAATTCTAAGTCCTTACCGTGACTTAGAAGTTCCATATGATCTGGTCCCTTTCTTTCTCTCTGCCCTCATTTCATTCTAAACCACCCCTATCACATGTCTACCCCAGGCTTATTACTCTGTTCCTGCTATATCTATGGGCCTCTGACTTTTGTTATTCCCTCCACCTGGAAGACTCTTCTCTCAGATGGTTACATGGCTTATTCTTTCACTTTGGTTATCTCTCTAACCAACTGTTACCACCTCAGAAAGGCACAATGCTTGGTGGGCCCTGCATCTTTGAGGCAACAGATACCATAGTAAATGTGCTGAAATGACCAATTTGAGTAACTTGCACAGTTGCTACTTTAGAGTGAGGCTTAGAGTAAAAAAACATTCTGCAGTAGGACCATGTTGCAATGCAAGCTGTCCTGTCACATGACCCTTATTAACCAGGATAACCAATGGTATCGGAAGTGTCTGCAGCAGTCAGGGTTGCTGTATGAAGCCTCTTGCAAGCCTCTATAAGAGAACCACACTGGAGTAAGGCCATACTGTCTTCTGCCAAAAATTTTCTAAGCGAAAAGCAGATCCTGGCTTGCTTTTGGGCACTAACAGAAACTTAATGCCTGACCACAGGGCACCAAATAACTATTGCAAACTGACCACTATGTATTAGTTGTTATTTGACCAATCAATTCATAAAATTGAACATACAAACCAGTATTCCATTATAAAAGCATATCTGGAAGACAAGTAAATTCCATGTGCTAGTGACTCCGATTCCCATAGTACTTGTTCCTACTGCTCCACCACCTCTCCCCCTCAACCTATATTCATGGCCCTATGGGAATCCCCTATTACCAGTTAACAGAGGAGGAAAATGTACAGAACTGGTTTGTAGATGGGCCTGCCCAGTGTGTGGGCACCACCTGAAAGTGAGTATCTTTCACTTACACCCCTACCCAGGGGTGGCCTTAAACATGCTGGTAAAGGCAAATCCTTCCAGTGGGCAGAATTTCAGGTATACACCTGGTTGTCTACTTTCCATGGAAGGCAATATAGCCTAAGATACATGAATATACTGATCCATGGATAGTGACTAATGGGTTATTTGATTAGTTAGGTACCTGGAAAGAACAAGATTGGAAGACAAGAAATAAGAATTCTGGAGGAAAAGTATGAAGATAAACCAAAGAATGAATATGTTTGTGGCCCATGTGAATCCTCACCAAAGGGCATCCACTGTGGAGAAGCCTCTCAATCAGAAGGATGGACTTGGTGATCCATATTATGAATGTCAATCAGCCTTTTTACCAATGTTTGCCCAATGGACTCATGTACAAAGAGGTCATGGCAACAGGGATGGAGGCTATATATGGGCTCAACAATACGGACCTCCACTTATCAAGGTTGATATGCCTATAATCATTGCTATGTGCCCAAGTAGCCAACTGCTAAGGCCCTAATAAGGTACCATTCCCTAGAGAGGAACCAGCTAGCCACTTGGGGACAGATTCATTACATCTGACCCCTTTTATTATGGAAAGGGCAGCAACTTCAAAGGACTAAATACATAGTCTAGATACAAATTTGCATTGACTTAAGTGAATGCTGTATTTATTATCATGGTATTCTCTATAATATTACCTCCAAAGGAGTCATTTTACAGGGAAGGAAGTTAAGCAATGATCTCATACACATATAATTCATGGGTCTTACCACATGTCCCATCATCCAGAAGTAAGTGGATTGTGATAATGGTGGAATGATTAAATGTAGGCTCAGTTACATTACAAGCTAGACAACAACACCTTGATAAGTTTGGGGTGCTGTCATACAGGATGCAATATATGCATTAAACTAAAGGATGATAAACAGTGTTGTCTTCCCCATGGCCATAATACATGGGTATTAGGAACGAAGGGTGGTACAGAAAGTAATAATGTCTCTTCTTACGATATACCTCATAATCCATTATATTATTTTTGCTTCCTATCCCTATGATCTTGGGCTTGGTGGGTTCAGCATTCTGACTCTCAAAGGAAAAATACTACTACCATGGGACAAAGTCATAATTTTGTTAAATTTGAAATTGAGACTGCTTCCTCTTTCAGCATTTTGGGCTCCTCAAACTGCCAAACCAGCCCGCAGAGATGGGGTCACTCTACAGGCCAGAGTGACTGATACCAATCACCAGTGGGGAAATGGTTGCTGCTACTGGAACTCAGAGGACTCAGTGGGGGTGCCTTGTAGTTCTCTCATGTCTAATAGGCCCAGTCAATGGTTCACGGAAGTAACCTGAAAGAGGCAGGATCACCAAGGACTCAGGTCATCTAGAAAAGGTTTATTTTATTTGACTAGATAAAGAACTCTGTGCCACTGAGATTCTGGCAGAAGGTAAGGGCATATGGAGCGGGTGACGGAAGAGGATAGTTATGACTATCAGCTTAGGCTTTGTGTACACTGTTCTCCATCCCTTGTTGATTTCTGTAATCCTTCTCATCCTCTTTATGAAACTTTGAATTACCCAATTTGAATGAGCCATCTGTTTCCTGCCAGAATCCTGACTGATACATCTTATATAACCATTATCACTATCTGATACTACACTGTATATTTATATATTCCCTGTTTCCCCTACTAGAATGTAAAGTCCTTGAGGGCAAAGGCTTCTCTGATTAGTTCACTGCTACATTCCCAGAACTTAGAACAGTGGCTGGCACAAAGTAAACCCTCAGTAACTAATAATATTATATTAATGGTTAATAATCATTAATAAGCTATGATCTTATGAACTAGTAAACATTTATCAACAATAAATATTTGTTGAACAGTTAATTAAATGATTTGAAGGATACATTAATGTATTAATGTATCCAGTGACTACCTCTAAATGGTGGAGTTGTAGGTTATTAAAATTTCTATTTTGTGCCTTTCTATATTTTATAAATGCACTTTAATATAATTATATTTCTTTATCATAAAAATGTTATTTTATACACATTCTAAGAGACACAAACACATATAGTATGTATGTCAATTTATGTAAAACAACAAGGTGGAGGCAGTGATTCTCAGTGATTGTCAGGAAAGAAGAGAGCTAGATGCCCTAGAATAGACTCTTAAGGAAAAACAAATTCTAAATACAGGAGAGAGAAACTAAATAAAATAAAATAAAAGATACTCCAGGGCTTCGCTGGTGGCGCAGTGGTTGAGAGTCTGCCTACTGATGCAGGGGACGTGGGTTCGTGCCCCGGTCTGGGAGGATCACACATGCCGCGGAGCGGCTGGGCCCGTGAGCCATGGCTGTTGAACCTGCGCGTCCGGAGCCTGTGCTCCGCAACGGGAGAGGCCACAACAGTGAGAGGCCCGCGTACCGGAAAAAAAAAAAAAAGATACTCCAAAACTAAAGGCAGGCAAAAGATTTAGAGTAAAAGAAAAGGACAACAGAAGGTTAATTTCATAGGCAAAACAGCAGTAATGGAAAGACCAAAATCAAAAAGCAGCAAAATATGATGTGGAAATGAGAGCCTGCAAAACATCTGAACAAAGTCAGCACCAAGATTATCTTACTAAAAATAACAGTGACTACCATTTGTAAAGAATTTACTACCAGCCAGGTATGTGCTCAGAGCCGTATATATGGAATCTTATCTAGTGTTTGTGGTATCTGTTATAACAGTAATGGACCCCAATGATCCTATCTCCTAATATCTATATCCTTGTGTGGTTTTCTCCCACAATAACTCTGGAATTGGTCATGTGACTTGCTTTGGTCAATGAGATAATAACAAATGTAACGCAAACACAGGTTAGAAAAGTGCTTAGCATCCCTCTCTCTTTTTAAAGACTAGCTGCCCTGTGAAAAAGTCTAGGGATACGTGACCCAAGCTATAGCCAGCACTAACAGCTGGACATGTTATGAGTGATAACAACATAGACCCTGGCCCTAGTTGAGCATGAGTGATTCCAGAAGAAAACTGCCCAGCTGAACCCAGCCCAAGCTGGTGACCTACAGAACCATAAGAAAATAACATGGTTGAAAAATGTCTTAGTGTTTTAGGTCACTAAGTTATGGGGTCCTTTATTATGGAGTAATAGATAGACACAACCCTCAAAATAACTTCCAAGGTATGAGTTATTATACACTTATAAAGTGAGGAAACAGGATTATTTTTTAAAAATGTAAGTAACTTACTGAAGCTAGTAAATGATGAACCTAGTATTTGAATCCAGGTGTCAGACTCCAAAACTTTTAACTATGCCCCAACAGTACATGAGAAAGATGACTTGAAAAGATTTTAAAGGGCAAATACCAAACACTGACAGATTGGTAATAAGGTGATTATAATGGGGAAAATGGATGACACTGGGTACTTAAGGAGAGGAAGGAAAACCAAGAGAATTTGATTGACAGAATGTACAATAAAGCCATGGGCTTGGAGCACAAAAGAAATGGTACTGCCTAATACAGTGGGGGGTAGGCAATGAGGCATACCAATAGCACTTGAAGACACTAACATAGCAAGGTAACACGGCGCCCACCCCCCAACCCACCCAAACCACTAAGAAAGATACACACTGCTTCTCACCTGACAGAAGGTAGTGTTCTTGAGCTTCATAATTGAATTGGATCTCCATGGACTGCCACTGGACACTTGACACCTCAGGGAGCAATTGGAGATTTACCATTTCCTCACTAAGCTTTTCTTGTCCACGTAGGAGTCTGAGACCTGGAGGCAACTGGGCACCACTGGACTTGGAAGGGAATCATTGTGGAGACTGGAGATATAAGTTCTGAGACTAGACCACCAGGAACATCCTCTAGATATAAAAGAAGTTACAGAGAAAACAAAATCTCATTTAACTTTCAAGCGCTTTTCCTTCAAATTTACTATGCTTCTTTC